GGAATGAATGGATGTGGGGGTGCAGGAAGCCCTGCACTGGGGTGATAAGAGCACGGTGCAGTTGTGCCTGAGGCTTATCTGCATTTTAGCAGTTTTGTGGAGTTTGTTTTTTTTTTTTTTTTCCCAGACTTTCTGAGATATTTTGAAGTGACCAGAAGTTTCCTCTCTGGAAGTCCCTCACCCCTATTGTGCTCACAGCCATTCACTGCAGATCACCATGAGAAACCTCTTTTCAGGAGGGAGCTGGACACTGCGGCCGATCAATCAGTCAATCAATCATGCAGTCAATCCATCACCTCGCTTACAGCCCAAGACAGGCAAGAGAATACCCATGCAGGGCTGAATTCATTCCTCATTTGGATGGGTACAAAGCTGGAGACCCCCAGACTGAGCCCAGATTTACACCAGGGTGACTGAAATGACAGTTTCTGCCCCCGATTGTGCCGAAGGCAGCTGGGCAGACCTTTATTCCCAGGCTGTGGGATGTGCCCTGCTCTCCACAGACAGAGCTGACACTCGCTGTTAGAGCTTCCTCGGAGCTTTTCTCTCCACAGGGTCCCTCTGGCCATGCCCCATCTCATCCTCACCCAGATGAGCAGGCAGGCTGTGCCCTGGCAGCTCCCCCCCCGGCCCTTTGGGAGCCCTTTGGGAGCCCTTTGGGAAGGGAGGGAGCAGTGCCGGGCACCGTGCTCAGATCCGGTGCTGCTGATCCCCTCCAGACCCTGTGAGTGCTGACACGAGTGGCAACACACGTTCACACCCTCCTGTTCACTGCACAGCAGTGCTGGGTGATGGCTGAGGCAGGTCACTGCTCCCAGCCCACAGGAAAGCTCAGCCTGGCTGTGCTCCTGTCCCCGCACCGTCATTTTCCGAGCGAGCCTCGCACCCCTCGCAGATGTTGTGGAGGCAGCTGGCAGCTCACACGGTGTTGACTCCTTGTTTCCAGCTGCTGCAGCTCGTTAAAAGGAGCTGTGGTACATTTAATCCTTTCCTACTGTCACTCTTGCCTTGAAGCTGCTGCTGCAGTGATGATCACTGTGTTTACAGGGCTGTGAGCAGGGGGACAGTGATCCACTCATCTGCCTGGAGTGGAGCTGTGGAGCCAAAAAGGCCCCTTCCCTTGGGGATGCAGGGGTACAGACTAGCTAGGAGGCTGGGGATAAGGAGATTTCTCCCATGAAATTCAAGCACAGCTCCTGTACATGTGGTGGGAGCAAGGGATTTATTTAACTCATCTTCTACCTGTGCCTGCTGAGGTTTTGCTGGGGTGCTGCAGATGCTGGTGGCAGCAGACCCCAGGGACTCCTTTTTCCTCCATGCCTATCTGTGGAGACAGGCTGTGAGCCTCTGACCACCCTCTGAAATCTGCATTTTGCCTTTCTGCTGAGGGATGCAGGAGCCCATTCCTGCTGCTCACTCTGTGATTGTCCTGGGAGGGATGGTGTGTACCTGGGAGCAGGGCACACTCTCAGAGGGTGGCCTTGCATCACCTCAATTCATCTAGGCATGGGCAGGCAAAGATTAAAGCTTCTGACACTCAGACAGAAGAAAACCAACCCTGTTTTAGGGCTTGAATACTCTGGCTACCTGCAAATGCTGCTGAAACAGGAGTTCCAGGTCATCAGGGAGGCAAATTTTCCCCATTCCTGGTTCTTGGGGGAGGATTCTGGCTCAATTTGGATATCAAGGCATGTACCCACCTCTGCAGTCTGGGAAAGCTGCAACTTGCAGCCAAGCTGTGCACACTGGGGGACCCCCAGGGATCACCAAGACTGGGGGTTTCCCCCTTTTCTGCACTTGCTTCCAGCCTCTTCCTCACCAGCCAGGAACAAAAGGGCCCAAATGACATTTGGAAACTCCAGATCTGGTTTTGAAGCTGCAGAGGCTGATTTCCAGGGGAAAACCATGTGAAGTTGCATCAATCCAATCACCTGGTTTTATTTAAGCCCACTAGCCAAAATCATCCACCTCAGATAATCATTCCCAAACCAATCTGGATTTAATTCAGATAAGACAATGACTGAGTGGCAGGTTTGTAAACCTTTACCCCCCCACTGTTATTTTTGTTTGCCCTTTCACTGGGGCCCTTCTGCCTCTCTGAATGGGACCAGAGAAGGACGGGGTGGTAGCACTTTCTTGCCTCAGAAAGGCTGCAAAAGTGAGGAGCACCCCCTCCTCATCCTCCAGGCTCCCGGAGTGGGAGAGCATGAATGCATTTCATCTAAACAATTCAGTTTTGGACTGTTTTCCCAAATTGATTGGGACCTCTGAGAGCTAAGCAGAGCCAGGCAGGACCCCCCACACCAAAGCTGATGTTGTCCCACCCCTTGTACCAAGGCCAGGTTTGGCCCATGGTCTTCTGCAATGTGCCCCTCGTTGGCTCCCAGTGGAGTGATGCTCTCTCAGCTCTTGGCCAGGGTGGTGCTTTCTGTCCCCTGCAGCTTCGAGCAAAGGAAATAAAGCAGCATCTCTCCCAGAACTGGCTGCATCCAAAATCTCTCACTATTTACCTTCTCCATCTCTGTAACCCTTTTCCTCCCACAGCACAGGAGCTCTGGCTTGCAGACACACTGATTTAAGGATGTGCTAAGAACCCCCACAAAGTCCAGCAGAATTCTACAGGATGGGGGGGGGCTGAGGGTTGCCAAGGCACAGCACTGTCAGATGCTCCCCCTCAAGGGGAAGGGATGAAATGTGGATGGTTCAAGCTCCTTGGAGAAAACAGTGCTTAAAAAGTCCAACAAAATCACTGTGAGTAGAATTATGATGGGGTGCTGGGCCCGTCAGATTGCTCAGCTTGGCTCAGCTTTCATGAGGAGGCAGGACAAGTGGCTCCTGGTGAGCTGGGTTGGTCCCTGGTCACCCTTCTGGGCAGGGAGTGGGGAGATCCAGCCCTCCAGTGACACAGGGATCCAAGAAATGTTGTCAAGTCATTGCTCATGGCTTGCAGGCTGTCAGGATGCCCCCATGGATAACCTGTTCCCAGCCTCCAGCAAGGGTTCCTCTGCTGAAGGAGGTGTCTCTGACCCTGCTGAGATGTTCTCAGTTAGTGGCTTAATGGCAACTCAGTTGGGCCTGGGCAGATCCCTAAATAACCCCTTTCCTCACAAAGAGGATGCAGAGCAGTGGGACTCACTCCTTCCCCAGTGGAGCTGTTTGCTGCCAGGGGCTGTGGGGGGTCAGGACCAGGGGGTGCAGCCCTGCCAGCAGCACCAGGGAGAGAAGATGGCTTTGGAGAAAGGCTGGAAAACCCTGCAATCACCTACCCAAAGCCTTGGTCTAAGGTGAGGGGCACCTCCTGACCGACCTGTCTCTGATCCCTGCAGCCATCCCTGCTGGCATTCAGGGAGATGCAGGGCTGGCAGGGAGCACCTGGCTCTCCCCACTAGTTGCACAGGGACCTGCTCCTCATCAAAGTGTCCCCATTTTGTGCCTAAAATGGGTTGTGCATCCCCTTATCCTGCTCAAGGGTCCAATTGCTGCAGGCTCTGTGCTTGTCCTGACCCCGCTGAGGGGCCAGGGGGGCACCAGCCCCAGCCCTGCCCCAGCCCACCCCACACAGTGCCTGGTGTTGAGCTGGTGGCCCTGACTTGCAGCCTGGGGCTCCTACAGGTCACACTGCCACAGCACATCAGGGCAGGCACTGACAAGGGCTGTGGCTGGTATTGCCAGGAAACAGTGTTGTAAGGAAGAGAAGACCTGCTCCTGCTTGGCTTCAGCTGAAGTGTGATGGTCCCTGTTCCTGATAACCCAACACCTTGTTTTGTAGGGACTCCCCAAACAACACACCTCATGCTGGCACCCAGTGTCTAAGGCAAAGCACCCAAAGGGCTGCTCAGCAGGGCTGGGCTGGAGGGAGCTGCCTGGGGCAGCCCTTGGTGTGTCTTCAGGCTCCTTCCAGCCCTGCAGCTCGGAGGGAACACTTCCAGAAGCACACAGGAAACAACAGGCACAACCCAAGGCTGGAAGATCATTCTTGCCCGGACCAGCCTGATACTGAAACACAGAGTTGCTGCTTCTGCATTTACACGTAGCAGGACTTGTCCTTTAAATCAGTCCCATGGAACACCCTGGGATTTACCTTGCCATGACACTGGCGACCTAAGACCTTGTCCCTTTGCTCCCTGGGTTCCCCACCCTGGGAGAGCTCCTGAGCACACAGCAACACACACAGCCCGTGTGACAACCCTTGCCACGGGACGAGCCTCGGCTCAGAGTTCAATTCAAGGTGGCGTCCATCACTTTTAGTACAAACTCCTAAATTTATGAACCCTCCTACACTGCTGAGGCAAAAGTAAACAGCCTTTACACCTCGTGTCCTTCACAGCTGTGGCGCTGCTCAAATACCCCAGGAACCTGCAGGCAGTGGGACAAGTCACCCTTTCCTGGGACTCTCTGGCTCCTGCCATCATCCCCTGCTCAGACCCGGACATGAGACACATTGTTATGACACACACAGGTCACATCAGCACCCGAGATTGCTTGGCACAAGGAATGCACAGATCTAGGAATACAACAGGAATGCTCCTATACAGCAGTAAGCAGTGATTAGGTATTTTTTCCCTTTTGGAGGATTTTTGGTTCTCCAGTCCTTCTCCACCAGAAAATCTCCTTGGAACTGTTCTCATCCTTCTGAGAAGGTAACCATGAAACTTTATAATCAACCAGTGGTGGTTTCGAATCCTTACCCCTTTTCCATCAAGTGTTGGTTCCACACTGAGTGGAACCACACATTAGGTTCCACCCTGTGTGCTTATGGATTTAGAACCTCTGGAAAAACCTCTCTTCACCTTCTCTACACTCCCACATGCTCTGAGGAACACCCGTCTCTCAGGATGCTGCACAGCTGTTTCGAACACTCAGACACTTGGGCGTAAAAGGAAACCACTTGTCCCGGTACAAACACCAGAATTTATGTATTTAATGGAACTTCATTCAAGGGAGGGGGTTGCTCAGAAGACTTTTGGCATCACAGTGCTTCAAAAGAAGAGAGAACGTACCTGCGGGCTCCTCCGTGCTGCTGGCGGCCGTGGTGGGGGGCGCGGCGGGGATCTCTGGGCGGGACAGCGAGGAGGCAGGAGCAGAGGGGAGATAAAAGAAGGAGGAGTTATTCCAAATCCCAGAGAGCCTGGCCCCTGCACACACTGCATGTTCCCTCCCCAGCCACGTCTACCAGCACGGAGGGTTTCCCAATGATGTCCTCCAGCAAGGAGCATTGCAAGAGCCCCAGAAAGCAGCGCACCAGGACCATAGCTACTGGGGAGTCAGGCCTCCCTGGAGGGTGTGGGAAAGGGGGCTTTTAACAAAACATTTTGGCTTGTGGCTGCGGGCTGCACTGTGCCCAGCCCCTGCAGGCAGAGGGAATGCTGCTGCCTCTCCCTGTCCCAGGGCTGTCCCTTCCAGCTGCTGTCTCCACCCACGTCTGAGGCAGTGTGAGCACTCCTCTCCTGTGAGAGAGGGTGCAGGTAAAGCATTGCATCTCTCTGCAGGGATACAGGTGTTACCTCACACATTTAAGGGAAAAACAAACATATCTGGTGCCAATGCACTGGTCCCTGGTTTTGATTTGGGACCAGCTTTGCAGAGCAAAAACCACATAATATTCGGGATATTCATGCCCACGCCTGGCTGTGTTAGTTGAAATTCAAGGGATGGGCTGTGGACGGAGGGATGGCCCCAGCTTTGCAGGATGCTCTCCTTTCCCAGAGCACATACATAGCTCTCATCACAGACATCTTTCACACATTCAGGGCATGATGATGCAATTTCTGTGCATTCCTGGTAATCCTGGTGGGGGAGCTCCCCACCAGCCCAGTTTGAAAGTGGAATTCAGGCATGAGCTGGGGGTCAGCATTTGCCTCCTTCCACTTGTGCTCTTGGGAACACACCTGGCCACGAAGGCAGGGTTTGCTGGGGTCAGTCTGCATTGTGGTGACAGCAGCTCATAGGGGTGCAGCCCAATTAGCATTAGATGATTTTTCAAGTCATTCACTCTCATGAAATTAAACAAAGGCATAGCCCATGTGAAAGACATGGTACATAGTCAGGAAGCACATGGACAGCCAGCACAGCCATCCCAAAAGGCTGGGTGGGTACTCCTGCCTGCAGTGCAGACAGACCCTACTGGGGTCTTGTTCATTCCCCATGAGGTGTTTTTTGCATGATTGTAAGTCTCTGGAACAGGGAAAATATAAGCAGTGGTAAATCAGAGAGTAACTGTGCCCTTGCAGGCAAGGTGGCAGCCCTTTGCTAGTGGCAGTGAGCCTGTGGCAGTGGGAGAGCAGCGTGGGCAGGGATGGAGCCCCCCACTACACACAGATCAAATATGTGTGAACTCCATCCCCTCCCACGTGTGGGATATGCTGACTGACATTTTTCAAGGATGAAAATGTCCTGGTTTGGGTTTTTCTGGGATGAGGGAATTGTGAGTTGCTCATATCTTCACTTGAATTGCTTTAGAGTCCTATGTGCAGATCCAGCTCCCAACAACTGCACGTGGGCTTGACGGCCAGGCCAGAGCCTGGCTTGGAAAGCATTTTTAGCAAAACATCCCTAGGCAAGGATGTTTTGCAGTGACACAGAAGTAAGTGGCTCCCATGGGTGCTGGGTGGTGGTCAGGTGGCAGGGCCAGGTAGGGCAGCCCTGCCAGGCTCACACCAGCCTTGAGCACGCAGGGTCGGGAGCTGTGTGAGCACAGCCCGGCTCCAAACCCCTGGATGGGTCATGTTGAAATCCTGTGTCTGTCTTTATTTAGTGCAACAAATCCCAAGGGAGCTGATGCAAGGAACAATTTACTCTCTGATTTGCCATGGCCCTGGGGAATGGCTAATGATAAACCTTTGTGCATACTTGCTGCAGCACAGCCTGGAGCCACGACTGGAGGGCTTGGAGAAATAAGCATCTAGTTTGAGCTCTTGCTGTCCCATTGCAACATGGGGAAAAATGAATCTCAAAAACCCATCCCAGAATGCATGTTTTCTTCAGCAGGAGAAGGTGGACAAAGGGTATCTTCCCCATAATTCAGCAATGGCCATGCTGAGAAGGAGATGCTGGGGGGGGACAGAGCAGGAGCAGACTGTGGGTTCCCAGGAAAGACTTGAGTTTTTTCAACCTTCACTTTTCTTGTTGGGCCTTTTTCCCCTCTTAGGAGCAAGGAATCACCCTTGAGGGGAGCAGTTCCTCCTTCCCAGCCCATTCCAGGCACACTAATTTTGATGCTTCCTTTCGTTAGGGTGGGGGGAGATGTCTCACAAGGTGCATGAGCCACTGAATGATCCAACAGCAGCAAACCCAACAGGCAGCAGAGAGGAGCACCAGGCCAAAGCCCACCTTGCCTGGGCAGTGAGAGCTCAGCAGGGGCTGAGTGGGGATCTGGGTGTTTGCAGAGCAAATGCTGCAGTGGAGACACTTTGGGAGCTGTACCTGTACCAGGGTGCTCCCTGCTGTTGTTTGAAGAGTAGAGGAGGAGAGCAGCCTTGGGAAGGCAAATTGAAAAGCAAGCCCAAGGAAGCAAACAATAAAACAGCCTCTGTTTCTGGGAGGGTTGTGTGAGTGCAAGATCCCCTTTAGCAACCCAGGTGCTATCACTGTGTTACTGTGATGGCAACTTCACCAAACCAGCTCCTCTGATCTGAGCTCTGTGTCAGTGCAGCACAACCTGTTTTTGGAGAGAAAATCCTGTTTGTAGTGATCTGCTGTAGCATCCAGACCTGATGTGGTACCCAAAAATAAATGTGCTCTTGAGGCACCTTTACTCCATGAAGCAAAACCAAATTACCATCAAACTGGTCTGTAACTGCACCCACACAGCCCAGCCAATGAGGCAGATGAGCTGTTTGGAAGCCAGTGCTGGATCCTGGGCTATGTTCCCTCCTGTGGGCAGTGCAGATGGCAGGGGAACCCAGGCAGCTCCATGCCCCGAGCACTGCCCACTGGCACGGTCGTGACAGGGTTAAGCAGCCTCCCAACACGGGCAGTGGCTCCTGCGGGTTTTTAAGGGTTAATATCTCTAATCTACAGACACTGAAAGAGTGATCCACCTACTTATGCAGGGGGCGATGGGAGAGCGGCTTTGCTGGTAGCCTTTGGCGCATCGGTTGCAGGTGATGCCGGTGACACCGTCCTTGCAGGGACACTGGCCCGTGGTTTGGTTACAGGTTTGGCCGGCGGCACCCACGGGATGGCAATCGCACTCTGTGGGGGGAACACACAACAAGAGGGTCAGGGGAGAGCAGAGCGGGCACAGGCGACGGTCGGGGAGCAATCCCGGCGTGGCTCCACCTTTCCTGCCGCCGGCAAACATCCCACCCAGCCAGCGACCGCACTGACCTGGAACGGAGGTGGCATTCGGCAGAGGGGGTGTGGAGGCCCTTACTTGGGCACAGAGGGGATGGCACCGGAGAGAGGGTGGCCCTGCCACAGCCCATCCCGCTGCGGGGATGGAAACGCAGCCAGGATGTCTCAGGTGCTGCACAGCCCTGGGGAGGCAGCGTGGGGACACCCACCCGTGGGCACAGAATCACAGAGTACACCGAGTTGGAAGGGATCGTCGAGGCCAACTCTTAGCCCTGCACAGGCCCATCCCCCAGAGTCACACCGTGTGCCTGAGAGGAAACACAACTGCCTTATCCATGAGTGCTCATGGATCAAGAGTTTGCAGCACTCAAAGAGGAGGGGAGCAGGCAAAGCAGCACCCGCTGCCCCCACCCCAGCAGCTTCAAACGCCCTCAGGCTCCCAGGAGCAGTGGCAGGACTGTAAGGAAGAGGGACAGAACCCAGGAGTGTTTCACTGCCCCTTCAGCATATGAGATCTCAGGCAGGGAGCGAGTGCTTTCAGAGATGTTGGGAATTCGTTTCACGTGCACTACAAGAAAAACCAAACCAGCCACCCTCCTCCTTTCAGTGCTTTTGCTCGAGCCCTTCCCTGCTGAGCAGCATCCCTGGCAGCTGGCACTGAGGGAGCAGGAAGGAAATGCCCTTGTGGGATGCAGGCAGGCTGGAGGACCTGCTGTTCCCGGCCAGATGGATGGAGGCTTGACGGCAGAGCTGGGCAGATGTGAAGGGTTTGGCAGGGGATGTAAATACTGCACTTGAAAACATTCACCATCTCATTTCCCACAGTGGGACTTACCGGCGCAGCTGTTTGGTTAAAAAAAAAAAAAGAAAGAAAAAAGCCAAAAAAAAAAAAAAACACCAAAAAAAAAAAAAGGCATCAGGGCTTGTTATCATCGCTGCTCCAAAAGGATTACGGCCTCGCACATTTGTTAACAGCCCTGATTTCTAAGAGCTGCAAGCACCGTGCCAGACTGTGGTCTGCCCCTGCTGAGCAGTGGCAGGGAGAGGCAGGAAAGCAGGAAAGCTTTCCTTTTCTTCTGCAGCATCCTCAAGAAGGAGCCAGCCAAATCCCTCCCAGGGGAGCACTGATCCCGCTCTCCTTCTGCCCCTCAGGGGAGCTGCCTGCTAGAAAGGGGGTTTGGGGGAAAATGTGTCCCACTGCCCAAAATCTGGAAGGAGCTGGTCTGTGGGTCAGGACCAGTACAAGCGTCTCCATGGGCTCCAGTGGCTTAAAACACCCCCAGATCCCCCAAACTGGGCATACCACTCCCATGAGGGTTTGTTCTGGACCCTGCAGTGACTCTTGGTTTGTCTTGCAACCCCCCAGCTCTGAGACACCCTAAATCTGCCTCATCTGGGGACAACAAATCACATCCCACATTCATTTGTGTTGGTGTCCAAGCTTTGATGTTTGGCTGGAGCTTCCCTCCAACCCACCCCAGTACGATCCTGCTCCAGCTTCCCTGTACCAGCAGCTCCCAGTTTGACCCCCCTCCCAGCGGGGTTTGGATTGTGCCTCTGGCCTCCTTGCACCAGGATTTCCCCTTCTCCCTGCGTGGGGCATCCCATCCCTGTGCAGCCCTTCCCAGAGCACCAACAAACTGCTGCCATCCCTGACTCCACCAGTCTTGAGTGGGAAGAGATGGAGCCTTGCCAAAACCTGATGATTTTTTCACATGCAAGAGGAAAAAAACCCTTCAAGAAACCAACAACGCTTTTGCTTCTTTTCTCCTCTTTTCCTAACACTTCTGATTTGTTTTTTTTGGTTAAGGGTCCTGCTCTCTCCCCTGCTGTGAGCTGTCCCTGCTTGCTGCTTGCTGCCCACAGCAGAAAATTTGCTTTTCTAAACTTAATTTTGATTGAAAAACTTTCAACATGAAATGAGTGTGGCTGGTGATGAGCTCAGAGAGCAGAGGGATGTTTAGGTGGGAAAACCTGCCCATTGCAGCCCCAGGGGATGGCTTTGACAAGGCTGGGGGAGAGGAAATAAAAACACATTAAGTGAAAGAGTGAAGAAGAGCCAGGGCAGAAAAGAGTTAAAGAAGAGCAGAGAGGCAGGAGTTAATACAAAAACAAGCAAATCAGGGAAGGGTTACACAAGAAGAGGCAAAGGGCAGGAGGATGGGGAGGAACATGCCTCATGTTTCAGGCGTCCCCTCTGGGGCTGCGCTGGTTTCAGGCATCGCCTGCAAACCCCCATCCTGTGAGTAATCCTCCCCCATGTGAGCGGATTGCACCGATTTCAGTGGGACTGCTTGGACGAGAGAGGGAAAGGGAGGAAAAAAAGCCTTGGTGATGAGTAAGATTTACAGAATCAGGTTCTTGGAGGCCGGGCTGCAGAGCACAGAGCGCTCCTCTGGACACCACATAAATAAATAGCGATGCTGCTGCTTCCTTCCCTCATGAGGTAATGCCTCGGCACAGCTTGTCCGGAGCTGCTGGGTTATTTTTACAGCCGTATCTGTCTGAGGTTGTCTCCTCTCTCCCCAGTCTGGGCTCCTGTGAGGGCTCTGCACACAAGTGTCACCTGTGTCCCCACGGGCACGTGTGATGTGCCCAAGGTTGCAGAGTAGGCAAGTCATGGAGGAGCTGGGACTCACCAGCTCGTGGTCCAGGATGTGTCACCAGGACAAAGCCCTGGCTGATCTCTGACAGCTCATGCTGACACACGGTGGGGTAAATCCCCTCTGAGTGGAGGGATGTGCTTTGTGTCACCAGGCCCCAACTTTTGGTTGGCGCACAGGACCCTTCGTGTCTGGGACCACTGCCCCGGGCAGAGCACTCCGGCTCCTCCAGAGCCTGACCCCACTCTGACTTGTCTATCTTCCAGAAAACTCTCTGAATCAGCAGCAACTCGGCCCTCGTGGCGCAGGGAGGCAGGAGGTGGTCTAGGCGGTGTCTGCAGATGTGTATTTGCCGTCCCTGTCCTAGAGAAACTGAACCAGCGCCAGCAATTAGGAGCAATTAAAGGTAATTTGCAGTTCCCTGGCCAGTGCAAACACTTGGCAGCCAGCAATTACAGGCTCTTCTCCTTCCCCAGCCGTGGAGTGGCTGGGCTGCTGGTGCTTGATGCTGATTTTTCTGGTACGGTCCAAATTCCTTTGGGCTGTAACGCCAAATTGAGGAAAGACTGCAGTAGAGTCACAGTGGGGGTGTGATTGGTGCCAACGCCCCCTTTGGCATCCCCATGGCCTTCCTGATGGGCACCTTTGGACTCACAAAATGGCTTTTCAGGCCTCAACTTCCCTGAGTGCAAGAATCTGTCCATCACCCACCACGATGCAGAGGGTCAGCAGTGCCCTGCACTGAGCAGAGCCCTTGGGGCCCCAGGGCTGAGGAAAGCTCCCTGATCAGGAAAGGAGGGTATCTGGGACATGACTGGGGATTATAAGGGGGATAAGAAGTTATTTTTCTACTGTATCCTCATGCCTTGCTTGAAAGGATCACCCCACAGAGGAGGGTGCAAGGGTGCAATGAGATGAGAGAGGAGCAAAGAGGAATTATGTCGGTGCAAGAAAACAGGAGGTCTGCAGTCTGTTAGTCCACAGAGCACTGGGGGAAGGAAATAACCATCAGGATCTAGTTCTTTCAGAAAATCTTAAAGAAAAATCTTTGATGTGGCAGAAATGATCAGGAATTTCTAGGGAAAAATGAAATTATTTGCTGCTCGAAAACGTGGCTGTGGAGGAGGAAACAAGGAGCAGGAATCTATGGTGAGGTTTTAATGGGCACTGATGGTAGCAGTGGGGGTGCCTCTGCTCATAAAAGCTGATTTTTCTTATAAAATAATCATGGAGTGGAAAGCAGGGAGCTAAAAGCATTTCTAGGTGACCCCCTGCAACTTGGCTAGTCCAGATGTGTTGGTCTTCTGCGAGACAGACCCAAACTGGCCGAATGGATGAGGGGATAGCAGCCAAAATCCGGTGCACAGAAGGCTGCATAATTGGAAGGAGGGAACAGGATGGCTCATACACACTGAAGGGTCCCAATTAACTGCAACCACTCCAGGAAAAGATCTAGGAGTCAATGAAACATCTGGCTGATTGCAACGGAGCTCAGAAGAGCCACAAGATGGGAGGTTGTGTTATGAAAGGGGTAGAGAGTAACAGTGAATGTGTAATATCATGGCACTATAGAAATCAATAGCACGTCCTCAGCTGGGGAACTGCAGTGAAAGGCAGGGAGAGGCACCCATCTGAGGACGGAAAAGATTAGGGATGCCTTGCCAAGAGACGATGGAGGGGTGCCAAGCAACGCTGAGCGCCGAGAAGGTCAGACAGGTGCTCCTCTTCACTGGTCCTTAAAACACGGGGACAAAGGGACATTCAAGGCGTTTAAAAGGCAACCTTTTTCAATGATAAAAGGAAATGCTTCTTTGCACTGCACGTAATTAACTCGTAGAACTCATGCTACGAGACACCATGGCAAGGGCCCAACAGGATTAGATAGGGCTATGAATGAGAACATCTGTAGTTACATTAGCTGGGATTAATATATATACGGATATAAGCGCTCCAAGCCAGCTACTAACTGCCTGCAGTTAGGAGGAGATTTCCCCTGGGGCCAAGCTCTTGCAGAACTGGCTGTCTTGGAGTTTTATATCTCTGTCTGGAGCTTCCAAGACAAGCCACTATTATATGTACAAACCTGCTGAGGCAGAGCATCACCCGCCCGAGCACAGGCAGGGACACATTTCTGTGCCTCAGCTGAGGTTTGGGACGAAAAAATACCTGCAAGCAAATCTTAGGGCCTTTCATGGAAGGATGCAAAACACCCTGGGAAAGTGGTTGAACTTGCCAGGGTGTCTCTGCCCCGCTGAAGGCTGACAAATAGCATGACAAAAGTGCAAATATTTTTCC